AGTCTATATATATATAAATATATATATATATATATATATATATATATATATATATATATATATATATATATATATATATATACATATATACATATATATATATATATATACACATATATATATATATATATATATATATATATATATATATATATATATATATATATATATATATATATATATATTCTACAATTAAGTTAACTCCAAAATTTTCATTTTGGGTTTCTTTGAAGATCATGGGGTACAGAGATAACAATAGTTGTTAAAAAATATATTGGCAAGGATTCTACAATGTTTTTTTGGTAAATCCATAAAAGTCAGATACCATCAAAAAACAGTTAGATAAGGTAAACAGACAAAAGTGTAAATATGATAAAGTAAAATATATGAATAAAATATTCAATGGCAAATGTTATCTCCCGTTACACTTAAACCACCACGATTAATCTCTCTGACATAATCTCCAAATTGCTCAAAACAAAATAATATATCTTCAACTGGAGGATCTTCCCTATTGACATTGCCAGCAATGTAAACCTAAGACATTTTAACATCTTTAGACAAATTGCTTTCAATAACTGGAAGATTATGAAATACATTGAACAAAATATCATCTTGCAATACATAATTACATTTGTCACACTAATGGCTTGATGATTCTAAATCATTAGCAGTGATACCAATATTTAGAAAAAGTTTTTTTTTTTTTAATGTCGACTTTTTGTAATATTTGCTGAACATTTATAAAAAAAGGTACCACCTGATCCTTGCCGAGGTTTTCCAAATGCTTTCTCGATTGAGTTACTAGTGAAATGTAAGGCAAACTTACTTATGACTTGTAGTTAGTAAATGTTTTACTAGTTCAACCATCCTACGACATGAATGGGAAAAAGCACGAGAAGTATCTTTGGTTAAATTTTTTAGTCTATGACCTTGTTTTTCAGGAGACATTTTTTCGACCATATTAGCCAAATTTAAAAGAAAGTACAATCGTTTATCATTGTTTGATGAAAAAACAGCACAATATTTATCTCTAGTACAAATATCTTCATAAAGTCCTTTAACATTAACAATTTGATAAAAATAAATAAAAACACTGTGGTGTCTTCGACATTATTTATGGATGGATGAGTTTTTATAGCAGCTACAGTCTCATTACAAAATACTCTTAAACAAGTTTACACATTTTGACGTTCAATTGGTTTAGGAAAAACTGTTGTTTCATTTAGTTTAGACAGTTTCACAATACCATCTTTTCAAATAAAAAATGTTTTTTAAGATCTGACCATTTTGCAGTTCTTGAAATACCTTTGTAAGTAAAGCATAGTTCTTAGGATTTTTCTGTGAGCCAATTGTTGCGAATAGATTTTATTAAATGAACAAAGTCATACAGAAGGAAAATGTTATCATTAGTGCACCAAGTATCACGGAGATTGAACATTCCAAAAAACTTTTTATTTATTTTGTTATTATCGCAAAGAATAGCAACAACAGAACCACCACATTTTTTTATCAATTCAATTGTTCGCACTGTTTGATCGTATTGAAAAATAACATCTAAACCTGTTACTGGTAATGCTTTATACACAAACTGTTTTCCACCAAATTAAGAACAAATCATTAAACCCAAAACTGTTTTAACTAACTCATTTGGGGAATTTACAGATTTTCCAAAAATGTTACCTCTTTGATATGTTAACTGTGGTTTAACATAAATTTCATCAATTAGTAGAATAACTTGTCTTTGAGATATGGGATATTTTTCAAAATACAACTTTAAAAAATCATCATCTCCAACATTTCTAATTTTAGATGTCAACCTTGTCATCAAAGATATACTTGGTAGTTTGTAGTCATCACGTAATCGAGAGTAAAGAGTTCTTGACAATGAAAAGTACTTAAATGCCCTAGCAACCATATCAGGAGAATACTTTTTTTCACCAATAAACATTAATGAGTTCATACTTAACATCTGTTCAACAATAATATTTTTCTTATAATCGATTTGGAAAGAATTCAGATAGTGTATTGCAGCATGGAGACGGCTAATACGGTCAATAATATTCGTATGATTGTAAGAAAAAGGTTTCATGGTGCACTTAACACCACAGTGATAGCTATCAAAGGATAAATCTATTTTTTATTTTCAAAATAAACTTTGGAACATCCAAGTTGTCCAATATATCAGCAGATTGAAGATGTAAACAGTTTTCATTAAAACTTGGTAGTATTGAGTAGGAAAAAGATATAGTTTTAGACATTATTTTATTACACAAATCTTGGAAAAAAGAAATATTATCAGCTTTCACAAAAACCTCCATTTCATTAGGCAAAGCACTTCTTAAAGATGGAAATGATATAGTAGTTGGTCTTGGTGGTGCAAGTGGAGACGGAGTTTGACTTGGATTTACACAAGAAAATACAGATGGTGGATGTTTTGGTCTTAACTTACCGTAAACTAAAACTTTTTCATAGTCTTTAGGCCAATGATCTTCACAAATAAAAGTGTTTGGGCTATCTGGAATATAATCTTGAGGTATAGCACTTATCCATCTTTTTCGTTCATCCACATTTTTTTTATTTGGAAGTCGAAAAACTTTTACAGACTTTGTAATATCGTAGTTACCTCTGCACCCTGTGACACAACACTTAAAAACCATATTCTTCAAATTTAATTATTTAGCTCTAAAAAGAAAGCAAATTTAATATATATAAAATTAAAACGTATCGCATATTAAATTAAAAGCCACGTTCTTCTTTTAAAATGCGCCATATTACTGAAAATTTATAAAATTAAAACTCGCCTACAGTTTTTTTTTAGCCGTATGTTTATTAGGTCTGCCAATACAGTAGGCCATGCTTCTGCCCCATAGTATTAAGCTAAAAGTTGAAACTCGTAGATAATAAAATCACCGAATATTGGTGATTTTTCTTCAAAATAAACCTATCAAAACGCGCACAAAAAAAACGGCATTTTTTGAAAACGTAAGGGTCTAAACCCTATGTTTTTCTTCGGATCCTCCTAAACTACGTTGAGTAGCAAAACTTTTACATTTTGCAAGTAGGTGTGCAAAACGAAACAGTTAAAAAGCAGCAGCTATTCGTCAACTGTAAAGCTTTCAAAATGATGAAAAATGAAGGCTATCTATAGTCTAAATATGTTCAGACATTAAACTCTCAAAAAAGTAACAAACCCATAGAAACTACACGCCCTTACACCCATACATCATAAAAAAGAATCATCAGTTAAAATAAAAAAAGTTTTATGGCGTTTTATTATAAAATACCTCCGCTCCAATCTAACCTATATATTGTTAAATGAATAATATTAATAAAAAACTGCTACTAAATTTGAAATTAAACAAAAAATTTTATGGATCACTTATATCATACAAAAAATATCACTTAAATCATACAAAAAATATCCTGAATCTATTTGGAACCATTTTTGATGAGCTAGCTTATTAGCAATATGCCAATGTAGAGCAAACTTAAATATGTCATATGTATCAGCAGTTTTTTGTAGTTTTAAGTTCCTTTTTACTCACAGCTAAAACTACTTTTCATCTCATTTTGGATGAGTGATCTTTCTTGTATCATTTCTTACTTTCTTTGTTTACATTAAACACCAATTATTATCAAAGATAAATTATAAAAATAAAAATTTCTTTGAATATATTACTAAAATTGCTTTTCTAAATAAGAAAAATAAAATTTTAGAATAATAAAATCATCAAACTGTAAACAACATCACGAAATAGTAGTAATATATTTAATTATATAAATAACTTGTTGTCCTGATATGCCCCACAAAAATCATTTTACTGAAATTAATACTTATTAAAAAGTTCAATTCTAAAAATTTCTTTAAAACCAGATTCTAAACGAGGATAAAAAATACTGTCTGAAAAATATACACCTTTTTATAAATAAAGCAAACTCGCAATAGTTCAAGATAAATCATTTGTTGTTGTATCGCTTAAGAAAGTACGCAAATTTTGTTTTTCGCAAACTTTTTAATGTATTTTGGTATGTCTAAAGTTTATTTTTTTTTACAAAAGTAAAGTGCAATAATATAAAATGTTTTATCAAGAAAAATTTTTGAAAAAAAGAGTTTTAGCTGAGATATACGGCTTCAGGAGCAACTGTCCTGTTATGGACATAATTGTTTTCAATAGGTACATTCTCCATAGCAAATAGGAATTCAAGTTAAATATAAATCAGACAAACAAAAACACAAATC